ATAAAGTGATTCTATTAAAGATGGTTTGTTGAAATTTGTTCATGTGCATAGTGAATTGATTTGAACACAATGACAATATATTCTGTATAGTTGGTGACAGAACAGAATGTTGTTGGGTCAAAATCTTGATAAAAATGGCCTTTCAAGAGTTTTCTTCTCTCTTTAAACCAACATAAACTTATCTGCTCTATCTTTTAATTCTCTCTTTGGTGATCACGTATCCTGTCTTAAACCCTGCCCCTTCTCTTAAAATGAACATCTAGGTCAGTAGTTCAGCTACATCCTGCCCTGAATCACACTCCACCTATAAAAATAAATGCTAGTCCTCCTCATATCTCTGTTTATGGATCAGCTGACAGATTTGTCTCAAGGCTCTGTCCTCAGGATGAGGTCCAGATCGTTTTATCGGGCCTGAGTCATGTCAGCGGTGGAGTGTTTAAGAGGCTGTGCTCTAGTCTCGACAGGCTCCTGAACACACAAAGTGTCAGTCTCTCTTCACCCTCAGAGGGGACGTGAAGGTCAGCAGCCGGTTGCAACAAACCCCTTAAGGCAATCTTAGTGATAACACACTTACCTTTTTGCATCTTGCATTATTGACAATCTATTTTCCTGTAAAGCTGCTTTGACACAAGCAGTATTTTATAAAGCGCTATACAAATAAAGGTGACTTGACTCAAGAGTTCACCTGCATTTAAGAAAAAAAAGAATGGATATGAAAGAGAGCAAAAGAGAGACAGACTGTTATATCGTTATAGGAGGCATAAAGAGTCTCTAATGTTCCATACAGCCCATATTTCCACACGCATGCAGATGTAGATGGTTGAAACCTGCTCCTTCTATTTCAGTCTAATTTAATGCCATTTTCCCCTTTTTTTTCCCCTCTTCTTTTGCCCTCAACCTTTCAGACTCAAAAGGACTTGCTCCTGTCTTTTCTTTATCTCCAGTTCAGTCCTGCTAGACTATCTCCCTCTGAAATGAGACAGGTTTTGGGATTGTTGCTATATGTCTTTTGTTGCTATATGTTGCGAGACAAAGTGCTTGACAGGAGAGCTTGTTTGTCAGATGGACACCGTTTGTTCAAAAATCCATCTGGAGATAAGAGGCTGTCGTCTGTCAGGAATGTGTTGTGAGATTGTTCGGCATTCCTTCCAGCCCTCAGATGAGACAATCGGACCTCAAGCCAGTGAAACTTCTGTTTATGTGCGTCTTCACCATTTCCTCTCCATCTGCTGAAAACATCAACAACAAGCAGCAGTTCATCTCTGCCGGCTGCTTTACTGTGTCACCGTCTATTGTTTAAGCTGTACAATGATGTTTAGATCCCTCATCCTAACGTGATAAGGGAAGGTGGAGGTGGGGGAAAACCCAGGCACTGGGGGAGGTCAGTGTGAAACGCACACACAGAGTGTGTCGGGACTGTGGTCTAATTTAATTCACATATGACATTTGGAAGAAAACCTCAGTGTAGCAATGTGGCAGCCAGATACAGGATATTCTGGGACTTTTGTTTTTCTGCTTTTCATTTGGAAAACCTCACAAATAATTGCATTATAGTTTGGTACACATGCATGTGTGATATTTCGAAAGACAGTGAGACAGATATGCTTCGGTATCTATCCTTATCACTGTTTAGTTTTAATGCTGCTCACAATTCACATGATTATATCACATATTTCCCAGGTCATATTTCACCCCCATAAACAAAAGTAAAAAGAATATACAGTATATTTTGCATCAAGAACTTTTTTTTTGTTTGTGTTTTGTTTTTTGCATTAAAACATACAATTTTATTTAACACTCCAAAGGGTTTCTTTCTTTCTTTCTTCTTCTTTTTTTCTCTTTTTTAAAGGTATTTGATTGTTAGGTGAAATATGATGCAGACATGTTCTTCAGTCATTTGTGGTGTCTGTTTCTTCTAAATTTAAACAAATTACACTAACAATCTCAGTCTATATCCTTTGTGACCTGCAGAAACTGACAGAGACTGAAGGGGAGAAAGCTAAAGAAAGCAAATGGAAAGAAAGGGAATAAGAGAGCATGAATAGTCAAACTCTTGGTCAGTGTTTGGTCCAGATGGAGTTAACTAGAAAATAGAGAGAGGATTATGTGTGAAAGCCAAGCCTGTTTCTTTTAGAGATAGATACGGATGACATGAAGTGACCTCTGACCCCTGAGAAACACATGCACACAACTCCCTACTGCCCAATTCATGAGCATCAGATCACACATAAATATGAAATCAAGAGTTAAGGCTTCTGATCTCCCACCTGCTGTCTTTGAACAGCAATAGTAACAGGGGAAGGCCAGCTCACGTCACCTCTCTCTGTTATCATGCAGCTCTGTGTTATCACTCTGGGAAAAGCTTTTATTGGCTCACAGGTAATGGGATAGTTTATGTTAGGAGACCCCCGTGTAGAGGGGAAGTGGGGGTCTGCACTTTCCCCCTTTCACCATCCGCTTTTCATTGTCCACAAGCCTTCAATAACATATACTGTATTATCCTCTTGCTTTTACAACCAAAACCATTGGGAATAGTTTGAAATTATATATAAGCATTTATGTAAATGCTAACACGTTTCTACTAACAACAAATGTTCATTTGTTAATTTGTGTTCATTCTTAATACTTTAACTAACATTAATTTAGTCAATTAACGTTAATTGACTATTTTTTTAATCAAAACGTTTTTCTTTTCAATACAAATTATATGCAGCATAACAATTTGAGTAAAAGATGTACTAAAAAAATTCCTTGTTTTGTTATAAATGCTTTTTGACTACACTCCACCATATTTTAGAAAAACATTAGATGCTTCACATTGAAGTATTTTCACATCAGCACTCTCAGAGGCCTCAGCTCCAGGCCCTGTTTTTTTGTTTTCTGGGCCCCTAAGGGTCTCACCTTAGGTTTGCTTCTACGTTGATGACAGATGCCACAGACCACGACTCTTACTGTGTTTATTTAGACAGTTTGGAAAAGGAGTCAGATGTGTGAAGAGCTGGAGGCAGTGAATGAAAGAAGTGGGATCACGTTTCGTTAAAAGCACACCATTGATTCCAGCCTCATTTATTCAAAATCCACTCCTTGCTACAGATGGGTGGAGTTAAGCAGCACTGTACTCTCCTCCCTCACTATCTGTTATTGGCTTACAGGCCATTCCCCCTTGAATGTGTCATCCCAGCCCCCTAAGTTCCTCAGTTCCTCACTTCATGCTGACTGGAGTCCCGGGAAGCAGCAGCTGTGTGTGAGTGAGTAGAGCTGTAGAATAACATTGATTTGGCTAAGGGAGATTAACTTTATTTATAAATTAGAAGGGTCTGGAAATATTATTTTACAAAAGTGTTTTTGTCTGAATAGTGGTTAATTAATTTCCATAGTAGTTTACTGTTTAATTATTGTGGTGAGGTATAATGTGTCTGTTGATATCACTAAATCTCAGTGTTAATATAGGGTAACACTACTATAAAGTTATAACTGTGAAGCTTTGTGACAATTATAATTTTCTCATATTTGTGACATATTTACTGTAAATGGTAATTTACAAAGCACCTGGTTGTGGTGGTACTATCATACATTTTTGACTCTAAAAGAGCAGTTTTCTACTTTTTTGTTTTAACAGGGGAAGGCCAGCTCACGTCACCTCTCTCTGTTATCATGCAGCTCTGTGTTATCACTCTGGGAAAAGCTTTTATTGGCTCACAGGTAATGGGATAGTTTATGTTAGGAGACCCCCGTGTAGAGGGGAAGTGGGGGTCTGCACTTTCCCCCTTTCACCATCCGCTTTTCATTGTCCACAAGCCTTCAATAACATATACTGTATTATCCTCTTGCTTTTACAACCAAAACCATTGGGAATAGTTTGAAATTATATATAAGCATTTATGTAAATGCTAACACGTTTCTACTAACAACAAATGTTCATTTGTTAATTTGTGTTCATTCTTAATACTTTAACTAACATTAATTTAGTCAATTAACGTTAATTGACTATTTTTTTAATCAAAACGTTTTTCTTTTCAATACAAATTATATGCAGCATAACAATTTGAGTAAAAGATGTACTAAAAAAATTCCTTGTTTTGTTATAAATGCTTTTTGACTACACTCCACCATATTTTAGAAAAACATTAGATGCTTCAAATTGAAGTATTTTCACATCAGCACTCTCAGAGGCCTCAGCTCCAGGCCCTGTTTTTTTGTTTTCTGGGCCCCTAAGGGTCTCACCTTAGGTTTGCTTCTACGTTGATGACAGATGCCATAGACCATGACTCTTACTGTGTTTATTTAGACAGTTTGGAAAAGGAGTCAGATGTGTGAAGAGCTGGAGGCAGTGAATGAAAGAAGTGGGATCACGTTTCGTTAAAAGCACACCATTGATTCCAGCCTCATTTATTCAAAATCCACTCCTTGCTACAGATGGGTGGAGTTAAGCAGCACTGTACTCTCCTCCCTCACTATCTGTTATTGGCTTACAGGCCATTCCCCCTTGAATGTGTCATCCCAGCCCCCTAAGTTCCTCAGTTCCTCACTTCATGCTGACTGGAGTCCCGGGAAGCAGCAGCTGTGTGTGAGTGAGTAGAGCTGTAGAATAACATTGATTTGGCTAAGGGAGATTAACTTTATTTATAAATTAGAAGGGTCTGGAAATATTATTTTACAAAAGTGTTTTTGTCTGAATAGTGGTTAATTAATTTCCATAGTAGTTTACTGTTTAATTATTGTGGTGAGGTATAATGTGTCTGTTGATATCACTAAATCTCAGTGTTAATATAGGGTAACACTACTATAAAGTTATAACTGTGAAGCTTTGTGACAATTATAATTTTCTCATATTTGTGACATTATGTGATTATTATATTAATTATTAATTATTATTAATTATTAATTATTAATTAATTATTAATTATACATTTTTGACTCTAAAAGAGCAGTTTTCTACTTTTTTGTTTTTCTTTTTTTAACATAGAGTAGGCAAATGTGTATATGTTTTGAATATCTTTTGTGAATTGTAGATGTCTTTTGATGTATCAGAATGCCTATCTAGGTGCTTAGCACATCTGACTCTACGTTAAAGGAAATAGGAAACCTCACACACAGTCATGCTCCAGGTTTGGCTCCTTCTGGCAGCTCTTATTGAGTGTTCACACTGTCATGCCCAGAATATGGACTCTGCTCCCCTCATTATCCAATATCATGTCTGGGAAGAACAGCCCTCAAGGACAAAGGTGGGTCGCCTCCTGGACGACCTACGTGAACGTGGGGAAACAGGATCACTGGAAAACTTCCGGGTCGTGCCGCATGGACATGATCTACCAGTCACAGTTGACTCAAGGGATGGTACCGTATCAACACTAGGCAGGCTGGACCGAGAAGAGCTATGCTGGGGAGCAGAATTTTGTGAACTAGCCTTCAGTGTTCTCTACAGAAAGGGTGGTGCTATGCATTTCCTGTCAGTTCGTGTAGAGGTGATGGACCAAAATGACCACAGCCCAGTCTTTCCCAGTCTTGTGCAGGAGGTGGAGATCTCTGAGACAGCCTCACTGAGAATGCGCATCCCTCTGGAATGGGCTGTAGATCCAGATGCGGGACAGAATGGCCTGCAGACCTACTCCCTGTCTTCCAACCAGCACTTTGCTTTGGATGTCCGTACTTCTGGAGGGACCAAGCAGGCTGAATTAGTGGTCATCAAAGAACTGGACAGGGAGTTGCAGCCATCTTTAGAACTGATTCTAACAGCCTGGGACAAAGGGGACCCGCCAAAATCAGGCAGAACAAAAGTTTTAGTCACAATTCTCGACTCCAACGACAATAGCCCTGTATTTGAGGAGGCCCCGGGAGTTATCGAACTAGCAGAGGACACTGTTCGTGGGACGATTGTCATTAATCTTCGTGCTACAGACCCTGATCAAGGTGCTAATGGGGAAGTTGAGTACTCTCTTAGTAAACATGTCCCACTGGAAGTGCAAAGACTATTCAGTATCCATCCCAAAACAGGTGTTTTGTCTTTACAAGGCCCTTTAGATTTTGAAGAAAAGAATGTGTATGAGATAGACATCCAAGCTCGAGATCTTGGGCCCAATGCAATCCCGTCTCACCACAAGCTGCAAGTCAAATTGCGAGATGTCAATGATAATGCTCCCCGGATACATATAACATGGGCTCCGCCAGATTCCCCTGTTGCAACAGTCTCTGAAGGAGCACCATATGAAACTTTCCTTGCTCTTGTGATGGTATCTGATGCCGATTCTGGGGCAAATGGGCAGGTACAAGTGCACATTCTGAGTGGATCTGGCCTCTTCAGACTCAAACAGATCCATGGAGACAATTACATGGTTGTAATCAATGATACACTGGATCGTGAGAGACAAATGGAATATAACCTTACTCTTCTAGCTCAGGACCGTGGTGATCCTTCTCTATCCTGTATTAAGCACCTGACCGTCCATGTTTTGGATGAAAATGATAACGCACCACTGTTTACAAAAAGTCTCTACCAGAGTGTCCTCAAAGAGAACAACACACCTGGGTTCAGTTTCTTGACTGTGGAGGCACATGATGTTGACTTGGACCTCAGTGGAAGGGTATCATTTTCCATTAGAGAATCAAATGAACTGGGGACACCAACAGCATTTTTCTCAGTCCACCCCAGCAGTGGGGCTGTTACTGTCCAACAATCATTAGACTATGAAGAATCACACTCCTACTCATTTATTGTGGAGGCTGTAGATCAAGGATACCCACCAATGACCAGTAGTGCAACAGTGCTGGTTGAGATACAGGATGTTAATGACAATTATCCCATAATTCATGAGCCACTACCCAAGAAGGGAATTGCATTGCTAAGCGTCCCAGTGAATGTGGACAAAGGAGAGATTGTGACTGAACTTGGAGTCAAAGCTCTGGAGGATAACTTCTACAATCCAGGAAATTACTCTTCCCTTAACAAACGCGAAGGGTTTCTGGCCACCACCATTCGGGCCAGTGATCCAGATTCTGGTCTCAATGGAAGACTCAGTTTTAGAATAACAGATGGCAAGCCTTCTAATCTATTCTTTCTGGACGAAACTACTGGGCAGCTCTGTGTGAACACAACCAATGCAACAGAATTGATTGGTAGAACTTTTAAACTGGGCATTGCCGTATCTGATATGGGAACACCTTTGCTAACCACAAGAACCACTTTGGAAGTGACATTCATCAACTTTCGTGACCACCTAAAGAACTTGTCTCATGATAACCAGGCCCAGTACAGTTTTACAATGCTCTTGGCCATCTGCCTTGGATCAACCTGCCTGGTATTATTTGTAGCCATCGCTTTGGCCAAAACATTCTGTCGTCCTGACAAACGGGACAACCGTGCTTATAATTGTAGACAAGCTGAGTCAACCTACACCCGTCACCCACGACGGCCACAGAAGCACATTCACAAGACTGACATCCAGTTGGTACCAGTGCTTTGGGGTCGTAAAGAAACTCCACAAGATGAAGCTGAGGCATTGTCGTGTGCATCACCTTTAGTTGAAAAACCACATCCACAGGGTCAGTTTGCCCTTACACCAACCCTTGCTCGCATGGCTCAAAATCAAGCCCATACGGAAATGGATGGGAACCCACCACTCACTCAAAGCAAAATACTCAGAAAACCTGGGAGCATAGAGTGGAATGGAACACTTCCTTATAACCCAGGAACAACGTATAGAACCCTGCAAAAGACCAGAAATTATTCCTCCTCGTCTTTTGCAAACTCACAGACCAGCACACTCAGACGAAACAAAAATGAAGAAGTCAAGATAACGACCACGGACCCCTCAGAAACCATAACTTCAGTTCCCAGTAATCAGGCCACATTACGGAGACCAAAGACCACAGAAAGAAGAGAAAAGATGGAAGAGTCAGACCACAGGCAGATCCTGAGAAACCTTGTTCGACTCTCTATGGCAGCCTTTGCAGAGAACGGTTCTATTGAACTGTCCTCTGCCTCACCCGACGTGCAAGTAAGAGATTTTTTTGTTCTTTTTTACAATTCTAACATTTCAGATATGAAAATACATTAGATCAAACTACTTTGAAAGTTATTGGCTTAAATTTCAAGGTATCCCAGTTCATATAGGTTCAAGTACATGGTAGTTTTCTCATTCTGCCGTACTGCAGAACTGGGCCATATCTATAATAGCCTAAGGGGACAGTTGACAGATGATGAAGGCACTGAAGTGCATTCAAAAACACATCAGTGTCACACAGTAACTTAAACCTTTAATATGCCTCAGGAGAAAACGCTGCCAATCCTCAATGTTATCACATTACAGAGTCATACTGAATGTGGAAAGAAAAACAGATTAATTCCATGGTTGTCCTATGAGGGGGGAAGGTACTTAAACCAAACACAGATATTTCTGCACCGTAAGATTACACTTCTCAGACATGTATGGGCTGGTGGTAGTTTGCTGGTACTGACCTGATTCTCATTAAATAAAAAAAAGAAAAGAAAAGTGAGAATAACAGCTTTTCACCAACAAAGACCAAAAGTGCTGCGCTAGTCAAACTGTGTATCCTCTGGATCTGGGTCCACCCAGATGCTTACCTCTACCGAAACCTTTAGCAGAACAAAAGGTCCTGGCATGGGTTTGAGTCCTCACGTGAATACTGTGGCCAGTCAGGAATAGCATGGATCCTGACCCCCACCCTCTTCTCCAATCCACCCTCCCTTACTCACATGGCCCAGTTGGCAAATTAGACCTGTAGCGACTGCAGGGGAAAAGGGGCCGAAATGTCACCGGTGCCTGTCCTCGCAGCCAAGGCTGGGTTTCTTAAGTGCATCCTGGAAGGAAATAGCCTCTAAAAGAATAGACTCTGTGTAGAAACAGCTTCCTGTCTCCCCCTCACCCCTTCTACAACTCCACAACCCATTTTCCCGTCCCAGAATGTGCTGTGTGGCTGTCCATCTACTATGTTGCAGCTTATTCTGTAACAGACCCAGGCCTGGTTTGACAGACAGGGCTTAGACTAAGCCAGGATTAGGTCATAGTTCAATTAGGACATTTAAGTAATTTTTATAAACATGCCTTAGAAAAAAAACATTACTGGTGTCTATCTTGAGACAAAATAAGGCCACTGACATATTGTAAGATCAATCAGTGCAAGTTTCTTTCAGTTGAAACAGTTTAGACTTACATGTTAGTCTAGGACTAGGCTTAAACCTTGTCTGTGAAACCGGGGGAAAGAGAATTTACCAAGTGCCAGCTCCCCCTCACCCCTTCTACAACTCCACAACCCATTTTCCCGTCCCAGAATGTGCTGTGTGGCTGTCCATCTACTATGTTGCAGCTTATTCTGTAACAGACCCAGGCCTGGTTTCACAGACAGGGCTTAGACTAAGCCAGGATTAGGTCATAGTTCAATTAGGACATTTAAGTAATTTTTATAAACATGCCTTAGAAAAAAAACATTACTGGTGTCTATCTTGTCAATCAGTGCAAGTTTCTTTCAGTTGAAACAGCTCAGAATTAAGTTTTAGTCTGGGACTAGGCTTAAGCCTTGTCTGTGAAACCCGGGGCAAAAGTATATCATGAATTATGAAATTATGGCATTCCAGAAGACCAAATGGCCTGCAAATTGTATGTGGTGGTTCAGGCATTGTGTACAATTTCTATTGTTTTTCAACATAATTAATTGTGAATTCATAATCAGATTTTTATTGTGAATTATTGTGCATTTAATAGATTAAAGTGAGTTACGTGATAAGTTCCCCTACATAAAAATATTAATTTTGTGTCATTTTAATTCTACAGCAGGTGTCTCAGCTCCTGTCTCTGTTGCATCAGGGGCAACTTCAGCCTCGACCAAATTTTCGTGGCAACAAGTATTCCCACAGAACTGGCCGGTAAGCCTTTTTGTCCTCCTTTTGACTTTATTCAAGCTCTTGATCAAAACGATAAAAACTGTAGTCGTGTATATTCATACTAATACAAATACACAGAACTCAAATCAACACCACAATAACAATCTTAGAACATGGCCACATGTCACTTCACTCACTTCACTTTAGAAGTTGGTCTCATTGTTATTCCGATTTTATCAGGTAGATTTCTGGTAAAAAAAAAAAAGTAAAACGGAAGTATCCGTCAGTCAGTGAGTACAGGATGAGGCGTATCATAGCTGTGATCAGCCCTCCCTGTCTTACTCAAGACAGATTGGTATCAGGCAGAATGCAGTACTGTTTCTATAAATGTAACTTAGGTTCATTTAGAATCAAAACGAGAAAGCATAGACTGTGACTCATCTGTGCAAGACAGGGCTTGTTTAAAATAAAGACACAGCGTAGTCAAAAGTGCAGTCACACTTCCTTCAGTTGTGTGTTCAGATTTAGTGTTGAGATCATTTTAGCTCAGTGTAAAATCCCAGTTTTGAGAACATTGTTAAACTGATATTAAAGATAATCACAAATGTATTTCCCCTGATATTGCCTTACAAAAAGGTATTGTGCCAGCACTATGGTACAGTGACGGTGCTAGTACCTTGGTACTTCATTATAGCATGGTATTGAATATCATATTCATGGTATTTACATGCTACTACACTTTGAATACCACAGTATTCCGTTATGGTTTTGTCTAAATCATATTATCCTTGTAACATTAAAAAAAAAGGTAACAGCATGGTACTTTTCTTCAATGGTAGTTAAAGTGTTTAAAAATGAATAATTTTAATTGAATTAATTCTATTTAACATGGTTTGATTTTTTTAAATGCTCCACAACATTTGCCCTATGTACAATTCATTTGTCAATATGCTTCAGTTTAGTTGCATTAAATTGCATTATATTTTACTTATTTACTTACATTTTACTTATAACTTATTTTATCATTCAGAGCTCTGTGATGTTGGCACATGTTCCAAAATGTTCTCACTGCTTTACTATTTTCATTGTGCATTGTAGGTCAGGGGCTCAGGATGCTGATTGGCTGAGCACTAAAGACAGTGGTCATGGTGAGAGTGAAATGGGTGACATGGACTGGGACTCACCTGTGGACCCCTTATATGAAGAAGGCCTCAACAATCTGCTTACTTCTGGTAAATGTCCATACTTTTAAAAGCAACTATTATTTGGATTTGAGTCCACTGTTATGTTTCACTGCTGGATAGTTCACCGAAAAATGAAAATTCTGCCATCATTTACTCACCTTCTTGTCATTACAAACCCAAAAGACTTTTGTTCATCTTTGACAAACAAGGGAAGATATTTTTTATATTTTCTCATATTTTTTGTCCATCCTTTGAAAGTCCATGCAAGCAAAACTTTCATACATCAAAAACTTCCTTAAGATATTGCAAAAGTCATTTGTGTGAATCCAGCTGTTCCGAATAGACACAATCACTTTATATGATAAACAGATTCAATTTAGGCTTTTATTCATATGCAATACTGATATATTAATATGACATCTCAAACAAGTTAGTCTGAGCTTCTGATTACTATATTTGATGACCTCTATGTTTGTGCATTGATCAATGTTTATATATGAGTAAAAGTCTAAATTAAATGAAATAAGGTTGAGGAAATGATGACTGAATTTTTTTTTTGGGGGTGAACTGTTAATTTACGTCATGCCACACAAGCAAAAGTGCTGTTGTTCTGAATATCAAGTATGCAACAAGTGACACAAACAGTGAAATGTCTCACAGCAGTTGAACTAAATATCAATAAGTGGAGGACTTTGAATGAAATTAGAGGACCTGAACTAACTGTGTAATCTAAGTGAAGTAAGGTGATGTGAAATGGTTTCCTGATTCTGAGTACAGTACAGGATTTACTATCTTTGTAGGTGATTTCCAGATATTTTATATTCAGATTTTTGCTGCTGTGTTTCCTTTGTCTATGTATAGAGTAAATGTTTGTGTGCAGTTCCTTCCATCTATTGTTTTGAGATTTAGCACGCTCTAAATTAGCAGGGACCTTTTTTGTTCTCTTGAATCAAAGGTCTAGTTTGTTTTGTGTTATCTCTCTGATGTCTGAGCAGTTTTAACTCAATCTTTATGTCAGTGTTGGTTTCCACCCAATCACGGTTACACAGTGAATCATCTTACTGAGATATTCCACTCTAGTTCCAAAAGAAAGAATCAATTTTAAGTTAAAGCTCCTGTGCACTTCAGTGTGTGGATCTACTGCCTATGTTGAGTGTTCCACTTAAAAGGTTCCATTACAGTTAACTACAGGGAACTACAGGGATACCAACCTTATTTTTATTAGTTCCGAGACTGATACTCACAGTGCTGGGTAGTAACTGATTTCATGTAATCTGGATTACGTAATCAGATTCCAAAAATGTGGTACTTGTAAGGTAAGGTAAGCTTTATTGTCCCACATGTGGGGAAATTTGTCTTGGGCCCATCACCCATGCTGCAGTCAGCTCACAATTAACACACAATTATCAACAAATACAGACAATAAAAAATTGTAAAAAATTACAGCAAATTACAGCTCCATACTGCCACTGTTTAACAACTTTATAGACACAGGAATGAATGAGTTTTTAAATCTATTCAATCTACAATGAGTAACTCTAAACCTCCTCCCAGAGGGCAACAACTCATACTCTGTATGAATAATTTACAATGACGTCTGTTCTTTAACACCAATAATTTCCCAGGCAGTGTGAATCATCCGGTACAGTTAAATTCTCAGCTGCACAGACAGATTACCAAACCAGACTGTGATGCTGTACCTGATTAAACTCTCAAGGACTGCCTGATAGAAAATTATCATGAACTTTTGATCAACAACATGAATTCTCAGACGACGTCAAAAATGCAACCGTTGTTGTAACCTACTACAATTATCTACATGGATGTTCCATGTCAGTGAATTATCAAAAAAGACACCAAGATATTTATATGATGGGACCTGTATGATGGTTTGATTGTGGCCTGTGATCACCAACTCCTCTAGGGTCAAACTCCATCTTTCTGTCTTATTGACATTTAGAGCTAGGTGGTTGTCCTCAAGCCAATTCACAAACCTTCCAATCTCTGAAAAATATTCAGACAAGTCCCCGTTCTTTTTCAATAAACCTAAGATTACCGTATCATCTGAGAATTTAATGATGTAATTATTAGAGTAACACCTTCTATACTCAAAAAACAACAACAAAACCGGTCAACTGACACAGCCCTGAGGGGCACCTGTGCTCAAAACTGTAGATTCAGATAGTGTTCCATTAACACTAACCTGCTGCCTGCGATTGGTTAAAAAAGAATAGTACCATTTTGTAATAAAAGGGTGAACTTTAAAATCATTCAACCTCGCAATTAAAAGATGTGGCTGCAGCATATTAAAAGCTGAACTAAAATCTACAAATAAAAGACATGTATACGAGCTAGGATCCTCTAGATGCCTATTTATAAAATGTGTCATGGCTATAACAGCATCATCTGTACTTCTATTGCTCCTATATGCAAATTGAAATGGGTCTGAAAGACAGCTAACCTCTGTTTTTACAAAGTTAATCATAATTTTCTCAAAACACTTCATTACTACTGAAGTAAGTGCCACTGGACGATAATCATTAGATTGTATTATGTTTTAATATGCTCATAATCAGATTACAGTTACTTTTTTATGGATTACATGATTACAGATTATTCACATAAAGGCAGTAAATTATTCATAATTTCTTAATTCTCCCTAATTTTTCTCTTTTCTCTTTGAACGTTTGAAATTCTACTGTGTGTCATAATGTTTAGCTTTGAATATTCACAATATGTAGAATGTAAATGTCATGTGAATTAATTTGTGATCCATGCTTCTGAATTTGCGGACAAAAGCACCTCTCAAACAGTTATATCATGTATGAAACAAATAATTACACAAGTTACTAAACACTGCCGATGTGTAACTGACAAAAATTATTTAAAACCTGGAAGTTTTTTTTTTTTTCTTTATGTGATGCAGGGATTCCCAAACTTTTTTTGTGTCAGTCAAACGTTTTTGACCTAAAATGTATACTTGAAGTCCCCCTGAGATTTAAAGTTATATTTCAATCATTTAATGACACGTTTGCTTGTTCACAGTTCTCTGATGTTGGTTAATGGTCACATTGGCATGTAGGTAAACAATTAAACTATTTCAAATGTAAAAATGTAGGTCATAAGTAATCTAAAAGTAATCCAAAAGTAGTCAGAATACATTACCTGAAATGAGTAATCTAAATACTGACTACAGTTTTCATCATGTAATTTGTAATCAGTAACAGACTACACGTTGTAAGTAATCTACCCAGCACTGGATACTGATTATTTCTTAAATGCATGTATGTTTCTTTTTTGCCACTCTCTGTTTAACGTGGAAGTGTCTCTGTGCATATTCGACTTTGCTTGGCTGCACACTTACTTCTCACAGTCATGTGGCACAGTCCAGCTAAATATGTCTGGGGTGTTTTAGCATAAGCATCAACAGAAGTACTGAAAACATTTCAAAGTGATGCAAAAACACGTTTTGTATTAATATAATTTTAATATCAGTATTTTTAAAGGAATCGATACCAAATATGCAGCTTGTGAATACTGCTATATCAATACTGCAGTATAGATGTGCCCTATTAGGAACATTAGAAGTCAATAAGGCATCTCACCAGGTCTCGGAACAGAGTATTAATCCAGAAATTCATCTGGTTGTGGTGTTTTTCAGGCTAAAGAAGAAAACATGCATGTTCTTAAACATGCAAGTACATATTCATTCTCTTCTTCCTGAGTCATCTAAGTTTTAACCACTTACTTACACCTCTGAATGATGGTAACCCTTTTAGCAGATTCAAGGGTGATCCTTAAGTCACACCTGCTCACACGAATATGCTCACATGTCCTTGGGCTCCTCACGTCATGCCGTAACTCTTATTGTTAACACTTCAACACAATGCAGGCGATGTGTATGTGTTATGCATACCCTAAGGACAGAGAAGATGAGAGTGTGTGAAATGTGTTCGCGTGTGTGTGTGCAAGTATAAGATATTGTTCTGTCTCTACACTCTTCCTTTGAAGGCCACACTGCCCTCAGGCTGCTGTTTCTTAACCGCATTCTTCTCACACTGTTTTTCAAGGGCCGTAGGTGACACATGTGCACTTCGTTGTATTATGTGTGATTTAAGTGAATAACAATAGTTTACATTCTTTACATTAGTTAGGTGCTTGATTACTAATGGCGCTTGTTAAGGCAAGCATCACTATTACTATTGCTTGTGTTTATGGTTAGGGGTGTGTAAATCATCTTGCACCATCTGTGTTGCTGACATGAATGATACATTAAAGGTGCGCTATCACTCTTCTAAGCAGTCAGGCTTACTAGAAGAAGGTGATACTTTGTCAGGCAATAAACTCTCTTAGAGTTACGGCCCATTCACACCAAAGACAAAACTATAATGAGAGCGATAACTTTCTAATTCTAAGTCCACACCACAGCTTTAACAATAAAGGCACACAGAAACAATATTGTTGGAATCACTTTCTGAACAATTTATTCCAGCTGACGAACTATAAAAACTAGGAGAGCCAATCAGAATCCACATGACTTTAGCATTTAATGCAGCAGATGACAAAACTGCAGAACATGCTTGTAATAAACAGAACGCTATCGTGCGTTGGTGTGAATGCTAATATAGTCATCGTTTTAGTTATCGTTCTTGGTGTGAACAGGCTTTTAAGGTGTGGTCACATTAGCGAAATTTCACAGACAAAAGAGATTCATCTATTGTCAATAGTGTAGGGATGAATGAAGCAGTGCTGCTCAAACAGAAGTCACTTTCAAACCTAAATTGTGAAAACGGGAAGGGGAAATCTTTCACCCTCATGCAATATTCCTGAAAATCTCTCTAAACACCTAAGCAAATGCATATGAATGCCCTATCAACTATTACAGACAGTGTAGTTTTCTGAGTTTGAACTCATCTGACTGACTGTTGGCTTGTTTGAGAAAGTGTGGCATACATACCAGCAGTAACACTGGATGAATGTTACACACATGTCGCTGTAGTGTGTGTAAGTCTGCCGGTGGTTGTTTGGATGTGGCTGGATTCTTTATGGCATTTTTACCATAAAATGTCTGTGAGTTAATTGGTTTAACTGCTTTAGAGGAATTACAGATGCCACCATTTCCTCCATCATTAATTATGAGATGCTGTAAGGAGGAGATTTGTGGAATAAAAGTAAGAAAGATATAGTGAGAAGTATGGGCCATATAATTATTAACGAATAATAATGCAAAGGGGTGAATTCAGAGATAGGCCGGATTTGAAAGAGCTGTGGAGAGAGGAAGTCATGAAAACGAGGTTTGGAGGTTCTGACTGAGCTCTCTGATGTTGGCCAGTGTGGGTTCGTTTGATCAGCGCTCGCTGGATTCCAGATCTTTACTCACACACTCTCTCCAAAAGCTCCTGTATATGCTGAGCCCTTTTGTTTCTCCTCCATCTTTAATTAAGTCCATGGAATCTCTGATCCACAGACAAGAAAAAACACTCAAGAAAGGTTATAAAGCTGTGTCAGATTCGTGGAGGCTGTCTGCATGCCTCGCTATGTTCGTGTGTCTGTTTCGGAGCTCCAGGGTCCATCATATTCTGGGTTCTCCTCGCTCATTCAAAAACAAATATTTCTGCTATAGCCACTCCAGCTAACCAGCTAAGACTGAGCTTGTGTTATGTGAAGCTGGTCAGTGAAGTAGCCTGCAATGATACACTAGATGACCAAAAATGCATGGCAGAGTAAAAACAATGCTAAATGCAAATAATAAAATGCAACCAATCATATAAAGATGTGCAATTTGGAGCTATATTTATTTTTATTATTTATCATATTTACCGTTTTCTACTATAAAGAACTGTTTGTTCAATGAAAAGGTTCTTCATGGAAACATAGATGCCTTTATTTTTAGGAGCTGTACAAAGAGGCTGCTTCACACACAAACAAGTGTGAAATTTTAATATGTGAAAAAGAGTCAAGTTATAACAGAATTGAAGCGTATTCACTTAACCAAGTATTTCTGGAATTTTTCTGGCTTGATGAAGGTAATTTCCTTGTTTGTTGTTGCACCGTATCACTTCCTTTGCCCTAAAAAAACATGGCTAACTGTGTGATTTTAAGACATGCTGTGTTACTGGCAATACTCATCTGTGTTCAAACTCAGCAGATGTGCATGAAATGACAGGCGAAGGAAATGCGTGTTTACTGAATTAAAGATGAATGCACACCTCCTCTCGGTATTTCCTGTCATCCTGTTTTTCATCTACACAAACTCAAACAAGTAAACAAGATTCAGACAGGTTTTGTAGCCTTTTTTTCAGATGTTTGTAAATATTTTATTATATTTATGGCCAGAATATATACGTATATATAATTTATTATTACTACTTTTGTAAATGCTTGTTTACATATTTTACATACATATTTTTAAATACAATTTTATATATTCTATTCCTCTTTTTGTGTAGATGATGTGTTCTCAGACATTCCCGATCCGGCATGGATGGCTCGTCTTTCTCTTCCTCTGACAACCGACTACCATGAAAACCTGTTTATCCCGGATGGGCCACCATCCCCTGATGCCCACTGTCCCATGGCTGGTCTTGATGATTCCACTTCCTTCTCTACTTTTGGTAAAACCCCAGAGAAGGCCCCGCTGGGTGGCAGAGCTCTGATTTCAGAAGTGAGCTCCCTGTTTGAGATGCTGTTGACACAGAAAGCCGATGCCCAGTCATGTCCACCTGCTGACATGCTCTACAGACTATCAGCAGCTTATAGACGTTCACTCGGCTTAGACACACCTGCAAACGGAGGTGCTGCTCACACACGCCAACAAGGGCAAACCCCCATAATGCAATATGCCAACCCTATGCCATAACAGCAAAGAATGTTTCGTTTCTGGTGCCAAATCATTTTAGGTTCCAAACGAGCCTCAGGAACACTTAGAATGACAAAACATCTTATCAGTAGTGCATTATAAGACTGAAAAAAATGTGATTTGTTTTTGATATATCCTTTTGCGAGAACTAATTGAGCTCTGTGAACTGGTGCAGTTCATGCAGTGTATAGCAGAAATGAGTCTGTCTCCTCTTTAGGAAGTAGCTGTTTATACCCTCTGAAGCCCAAACAAGTCTTTTCTCTCAGAAGAAACCCAGTAAATCTTCTGCTAGTCTTCCTCAAGCTGCAGGATTTCCTCTGACAGCGCCCACTGCTGGCTAGTTTGGTTATTTTTTATGCCGGTTCTCTAATGTAAATATGAATTTGTATAGTTACAGGGCATGTAATAATCAGATCATTTAGAAGTAAGCCTAACACTGTATATGCAAGACTTGGTCATCGTTTGTAAGAACTGCAAAGCACTGATGACAAAATTCAGTTATGATCTGAATGTAACGGTTTTTCTTCTTTTTCTTTGAATGTTATAAGTTATTGATATCAAAGCAAAGATGTATATATTTTTTCAATGTCATTTGTTATGTGTAGTGCTGTTTTTGTATTCATAATTGACATCACGTTTTCTTTTTGTAAACTATATACCTGAAATAAATAATTCAAAAAAACGTACTGTACTGTATTTATTTTGAAGGTTACAATGAAAACGTATTTTAACCCTAAAAACCCCATGAATAAAAAAAAAAAAAAAGAAGGAAATTTAAAAAAAAATCAATATAAGAATACAGGAAAAGCACTGTCATGCAGCTGGTCTGATTATCAGCACGGTTATGATTCTCTGAGAACATTACAGCATAATTGTGTGACAGAATAAACTAATTTGTTGAATTGGAACAATTTATTGAACAAGGGTATGAATAGTATGATATAGAGCTCACACTCAAGGAGAAAAAAACACCTTAATTTTAATCAGTCCCAAACTGAGGAAAAACATGCAATTCGGTGCAGATGTTGCATTTATCTGACAAAAAAAAAAAAAAGATTACATTTTGATAGCTTTACATGCAAATCATTGCTTTTTTTAATAAAAGTATAAAAAAGGCTACTGACATAAAATGCATATAGATATCAGTCACTCTGTATCTCCCAATAATTTCTATCTTTATATAAATATTTATATTATAATCATAGTAAAGTCATAAAGGCTATCAATCAGACAACTGAAGGCATGTAGTAGATTGTGTGCAATAAGTTTTTCAGCAAAGTTTATAATTTAGAAACTCATATATATATATATTACACAACAGTACTCCAAAAAGTTGATAAAGTAACACTCCAAAGTTTTTTCTTCTGCTAAAGTAGATAAAAGTATTAATGGCTCATCTTGGCCATATATATATATATAGAGAGAGAGAGATATATATATAGAGAGAGATATATATATATAGAAGCTGCACTCAAAAATCTGAGGGATCATGTTTGAACAGGCTTTAGGCTGGTAGTACTAAAGCCAGTAGCGTTTGATAAAAGGTTCCAAGTAAGCAGACGGATGATGGACTCCCCTGCACAGTCTTAGCTTCTTCCAAAATGTCATCATCCTAACACCTCATGAAACTCTTCCTGGCAATGGCTGTTATTGTCCAGCTCACAGGAGATATTAAGGCACTGTTCTCTGTAATGCTCCTGTCAAACACTGCATTGTAAAAACAGACATCCTGAATAGAACACAAACTCCTGATCACTTCTTGCAAGTGCACATTCAGTGAATACATAAAACAATAACTAAAAATCATTTAAACTTTATTGGAATCTATTTCACATTTGTTGTTATTGTCCACAAAAGGATAAAAAATAAGTCATGGGACACTAACAAAGCTCACCAACCTACAATCAAAGCTTAAAAAGTAGAAGAGCTCAAATCAACCCGAATCTGCCAAAATCTGTCTTAAAGCAATAACTTTAACAAAAGAGAAGTTACCGATTTCAAAGTCTGGTATACTGTATGTATCGGAGGAATTCATCACTACAATGATGTATGAGACAGTGAATGAATATCTATGTATACACATGCACAATTTATTACTGACAGACATATTTGCTGTGGGAAAATGATTGCATCCTGTTTTAAATCTCTCCTGAAGGTTCTCCATTTCTATTAAAGGCTGTAGAATTTGAGACTTCGGTCCATGCCAGTGGACGCCAGGAACTGAGCATGTTCGCCGAAAGCCACACCGGTAACCAGACCAGAGTGATCTACAAGAGAAAGGAAGAGAGATTAAAACAATGCATAGCAAACAAAAACAAAGTTTGATAGCTCAGAACAAAACATTCTAGACAAATAAGACAGCAAACCTCACACAGCATAAAAGTACACACAGAATGGCATTTCATGTATAATATTACTAATCAAAACACAACATTCTCACCAGAGAAGTTGAGGACCTCAGACCACTGTTTACAGATATAAACTCTTATGTCTGATCCACCAACAGCCAGATATGTTCCACTCTGGTCGAAGACCAAAGACTTCACCTACAGGAGGAATGCAGAAATATTAGCCATGCTTTCTGTAAAAGCAGTAAAATGGTGTCACACGGATGAAGAACACATGGCAGTCATATCTGTGGCCTGTGCAAGAAGACCTCATAATTGTTGTCCAAAGTGATTGTCTTGAAGTTCTTCAGCTTCCTCAAATCCCACAGCTTGAGTGAACTGTCCTGAGCACCTACAGGTCAAACAAAAAAGGTAGAAACAGAGTTTAAAAGACAATTAACATTCAGTAATGTTGATTTAACCGCACTAACACTATTGGATGAGAACGAAATTTGAACTGAATTGAGCTGAATTACGACACTAATGCCTTCTGTAGAGCTGCTTTAGAGCTGAAATTAGAGTAGTTTTATAATTAATTCTGCAACATTAACAGTTATTTTTAGGGTTGGGTACCGAAACCCGGTACCAATATGGCACCGGTACCCATGTAACCGGTATGTAATAGAACCGAATCCGAACGCAAATTTCGGTGCCATGCCTGAGCCATCGATTGAAATATTTGTCCTCTGATTCTCCGAAACGGACGTAAGAAGCATCATCACCGGCACCGCACGTGAAAAATCATTTCCCGACTGAGAAAATGCATGTGAACTCAAGTCAGAAAGCTCTAATAATACAAATCCAACACATCGTTGTAGTAACGCGAGTGTCCATGTTGTTTTCACATTCTGACTTAAAAGCACAACTCGGGAAATGAGAGCATCCGAGGAGCGCGTGAATGCAGTAATTACACTTGCTCTGATGGCAGCAGCTAGCCTTCCGTTAACTAAGCTAAACATGCTTAAATTAAAATGCCTAAAGCTAAACCTCCCTTGTATTCACCTATTACTAACAATATAAAAGCAATCGTTATAATACTTTTTTGTATACATTTTAATTCCTTTGTTTAACAGTTCTACCTGATTATTAGATAGACTTCTGTCCGTGGACAGAACTGTTAACGACGATAGCGAACAAGAGGGAGAATGTGAGCACTGTGTGTTCAGGCGCTGCCGTTCTCAGCGCCGTCAAAATAAAAGTCTGTCGTGCCGTCAAAATAAAAGTCCCACCTCGAAGGCATCGGACAAACAGGAAAACTTATCGGCCGATGGCGATATTTAAAAAAAATGCCAAATATCGGCCGATATATCGGCCTTGGCGATATATCGTTCGACCACTAATTATTATGAAAATACCAGATGGCTTGAATAAAACAGATAAAACTATATTGTCGCAGTCGAGTGTTTATTGTCTTTTGGACAAGTACCTTTACTCTACTCACACTACATTTTTTGGAAGGTAATGGTACTTTTACTTGAGTATATTTTTTTTCAGTACTCTTTCCACCACTGTGTGTTTATAGTGCTAATGGCCAATTCATCCTTTTTTGGGGAATTTTTTTTATATAAGTATCGGTTCAGGGACCTTTTAGGCACCGGAACCATTTTAAAAGTATCGATTTGGCACCGGTATCGAAAAAAACCAAACGATACCCAACCCTAGTCATTTTCCTGTTTATTTTAAATAAATGTGACCTGACATCCACTTCCCTCCCAAGTCATGTTCCTGTGGCTCAGTGGTAGAGCATTGCATTAGCAGCGCAAAAGGTCGTGGGTTCGATTCCCAGGGAACACACATACTGGTAAAAGATGTACAGCCTGAATGCACTAAGTCGTTTTGGATAAAAGTGTCTGCTAAATGCATAAATTATTATTATTTAAGTCAGGGTCATGTGACTTACCAGTGGCCAGATAGTATCCATTCTCAGAGAAGGCGATGGACGTCACAGGACCTGAATGTCCGGGGAAGTTGGCTACATTGGTCCGTTCCTTCAGATCCCAGATCTTAATCTGAGAATCTGCCGTGCCAGTGCCGAAAATCAGACCGTCAGGATGGAACTGAGCACAGGTCAGAGCTGAAGGGAAATAAGAAAGGCTTTACATTTTCCATATGTGAACAATCAAATTTAAGAGCAGGGGCAATATAGCTAACAAAATAAAAGACATTTTTCAGCCTTCAGAGATATTAAATGCTTTATATTTATGTTGCACATATTAATTTGCTCAAATGATTTTTTTTCCCCAGTCAAGCAGCATCATTACATCCAAAAGCCAAGCTTCTAAATTCACAATGCAAGACATTAAATACAGTAAAAATCTAGTTAAAATAAGACATTTTCCATTAAATAAATCTGAACTGAGCATGTGGAACTAGTTCAACTGGTACAGTATTTAGGACGATTATCACCAATGTAAAGTAAGCCTGGGCGATATGGACCAAAAATTGTTTCTCTGTATTTTTAGACTGAGTTGGCGATACACATAAAAAGCACATTAAAATCACCACTAAATTAGGGATCAATAAATGATCATTATATTGTTTTTCTATTATATAACATTATTGTTCTGTTCTATTGTTTGTTTTATGGTTGTATACATTTTTTTCCAGTTAACAATTTCCTTAAAGGGTTAGTTCACCCAAAAATGAATGCTTCAGTCCAAAAGAACTTGAATAAAAATCGCCCATGGCTCCGGGGGGGTGAACGAAGGCCTTCTGTAGCGAATCGATGCGTTTTTGTAAGAAAAATATCCATATTCAAATATTCATATTCAAAAAAATAATCACATGAATCTAGTTTGCGCTCACTGTTGTACACGGAAG